AATCCACTCACCTCAGCCTCCCAAAGTGCTGGGATTACAGGCTGAGGCACCGAGCCTGGCCTGAAAGTTTTTTCTAACCTGCAGTATGGAGGCTGTGTTGGAAGCAACAAGACTCCAGGAGGGAGACCGCATAAGAAGCTGCCACACTAGTCTAGGAGACAGGGGCCAAAGGGACAGTCTCCAGTTGTTTACAAGTTGGAATCCATGGGTCTTGGTTATTGGGTGTGGGGTGGGAGAAGAAGGAATCAAAGACTGCCTCCAGGTTTCTTTTTATTTACTTAAAAATTCTATTTATTGCCGGGCTCGGTGACTCAGCCTGTAATCCCACGCTTTGGGAGGCTGAGGTGAATGGAATGCCTAAGCCTGCGGGTTCGAGACCCACCTGGGCAACTTGGCGAGACCTCATCTCTACAATAAATTAAAAATTAGCCGGGTGTGGTAGCACGTGCCTGTAGTTCCAGCTACTTGGAAGGCTGAGGCGGAAGGATCACTGGAGCCCAGCAGGTCAAGGCTGCAGTGGCCGGGAGCGGCCACTGCGCTCCAGTCTGGGTGATAGAGTGAAACTCCAACTAAAAAAAAAAAAAATTCTATTTATGTATTTTGAGACAGATTCTCACTCTGCTGCCCAGGCTGGAGTGGAGTGGCATGGTCATGGTTTACTGCAGCATCAAACACCTGGACTCAAGTGATCTTCTTGCCCTGGCCTCCCAAAGTGCTGGGATTACATATGTGAGCCATGGTTCTGGGTCCTAGGTTTCTGAAGTGGGCAACTGGGTGAACAGCAGGGCTAAACAGTTTAGACATGTAGAGCTTGGGGTGTCTCTGGAATACCCTGTGAGAGAAGTCTGGGAAACTTCTGTGAATAAGGAACCTGGATGATGGGTGGTTTGAGCTAGAGATAATGCACTTAGGAACGCTGACATATGTGGCAAACAGAGACGTGGAGTGAAATGGCCCAGGGGTAAGGGGAAAGAGTAAGGACAGAGTCCTGGGGACTGAGGAGTGGTCAGAGAGGTTGAGAGAAGTCATGTCATGAAGCCAAAGGAGTTTCAAAAAGAGTGGAGTGTTCTGTGTTGTCACAGGTCATGGAGAGTTCTAGTCATAGGAAGACTCAAAAACAGTCTGGGGCATTTAGGATCAGATGAGTCATTTGGAGACCAAGAGCAGTGCAGTGACATGGTGGGGACAGATCTACGTAGCCATGGGTTGAGGAATGAGAAGCTGCTGAGGAGGGAGAGATGAACGCAGACTATTTTCTAGATGTTTGTGAAGGGTACAGAGAGGACTTGGGAGGCTGAAGTGGAAGGATGGCCTGAGTCCAGGAGGTAGAGGCTTCCGGGAGCCATGATCATTGTGATCGTGCCACTGCACTCCAGTCTGGGCGACAGAGTGAGACCCTGATTCAAAAGAAAAGAAATTCAGAGAGTAGTAATAGAAGTGGAATCTAGTGGGGCAGAGGAAAGGTTTCTTTTTTCCTTAGGCTGGAAAAAGCTTGAATGTGTGCAAATGATGACAGAAAAAGATGAAGAAGTAAGAGAAGTTGATAATTTTGGAGTGAGGGGGGGAGAATGATTGAAAGATGTCTGAAAAATTTTCTGAGAGCGTGGGAGGTGATGACATACAGAAAAGAGACGGAGAGATGCTAATACGAGTGTACTTAAAGCCACTAATTCCTAGAATGGTTTAGAAGAGTCTAGTCCGCATATTTAAATGACGTTGGTTTCAATCAATAGGGCAAACCTATCAAGCAATTTTACATATTTATTTTATATCCTTTACACATCTTTTCTCCAAGGGCCAGAATCAGTGTTTACCCTTTCAATGTCTCGTGGGTGCTCAATACATGGTAAATGCATAAGCTAGATGTCTCTTACCTGTATTCTGAGTATCTGAACATGCTCAGAATAAGCCAAGACCCTGCATATGAGTGAGAAATCTCAGGCATGCAAAATACTCGCGCACTTCATGTGAAAGGTGATGCCTTTTTTTGACGAAGCTATTTACTCTCACTTAACCGAGAGGGGGATCAGCATTTCCTTCTCCATAGGAGTTTAAAAATAGGACGATGAGAGGGGGAGGAGTGTTCTCCAGGCAGGAAGGCAGGCAGCAGCAGGAGGTGGTACGCTCTGCCTTCTCCTAAGGTGCCAAAAAGCGGTGAAAACCACACTCAGAGCAGGCTGGCTGAGGCCGCTTAACTTGGGACCTTACAACCTTCACTTACAGCCTCTAAAGGACGTTGCTGGTTTGAGCCTCAAATAAAAAAATGACCATTTGAGCCATTCAAAAAAGGCTTAGCTGTTTCTAACTTGGCACCGTCTCCTATGTTTCACACGGTTTGGAAAGAATTCTATTAAAAATGATAATATTAAAGCATAAAAAAGCTGGTGCTGAGATGATAAACCTGACCACATCCTGCTCCTTTGCCCAAGCTGTTTTTCCAGCCTTAATGCACCCCCTCTTTTCTCCAAGACTGCTTTTTCTTCCTTCTAGGCGCAACACACAAGCCACCTCTTCCAGGAAGCCCTCAGCGTCATCCACGCGGAAATCGTCTCCTCCTCCTTCTCGGCCCTCCTGCCGCATCCTGCTGTGGCTGGGCCCCGCGCGGGTCAGCGGACCTGGCTATTTACGCGGCGGATCCCCACTGAGTCAGGCGCTCCTCGGGACCAGGGGCCGTGACCGTGCACCCGCAGGCGCCCGGTGCAGCGCCGGGCAAAGCCGCTGTTCGGTGAGTTTGCCGAGCTGAGTTAAGCTGGAAAATCGCTCAGGGCGGGACCGTGCGCTCGAGGCGCGGACGGATGACTCAAGGGGGTGGGTCTCCGCATTCTTCACCTCGTAGTCACATCGGGCCGAGCGGCTCCCAGGCGCGGCATCTACCTGTGGCACGGAAACGCACCCCC